AAAGTCTCTCAAATGCATAGCATTTCTTCTGCTCAGTTAGCTCAGGATCATTTGCATGTGTAATGTCAGCTTGTTGAAATGTTTGTTTTACACTCAGAGGTGGCTTCTTGCCAGAGTGGCTCGGCACAGTAGTAAACTAACACTGCATTCCAAACAGATATGGAAAATTCATGCTCTATAAACAAAAAAAACAACATCCCGCAAACATGTTTAAGAGGGAAGTAGAGGAGAGCAGTGGGGAAAAGAGAGATATTCGTACCAATATCAATGCAACCTCAAATGCAATCTGTAGGAGTTTGTAAATACATTTGAATCAGTTCTTCCAGCTTAACCCTCTGGGGTTGTTCGGCCCAAATGGACCTGAATAATTTAAACAATTTTTTTTTTTTTTTTAAAATCACAGCTTCCTCGGAATGGTCCGAAATTTGGTGACTTTGTTGGTATTTGGTATTTGAACACCCAAAAAATTGGGGACAGGATGTGAATAGTTTAAGTGGTTGTAAAAAAAATAGTCACACTTGGGGTGTTCGGGTCCAAATGGACCCGCATGGAAAATGAATGGGAAATTGGCAAAAGTGTGAAAATACTGAGTTTTTTTGTGCGTACAATCTACAAATCAGCCACAATCTTGAAAAAAAAGCACACAACAGTGAAGGGGTGTATCTATAAAACATCAAGAGTGCAAAACAGACACATCCAGACACACACACACACACACACAAACACACTTTTATACACAAACACACCAAAAAATTCAGATTATACATGTGTTTTGCATTTTTAAAATGCTCAGTTTGTCCACCAGATGGCATCCATCTCATTTCAAAAATTGCTTTTTTGAGGCCTAGGCTTGACTCTAAAATGAAATACAGCTTTTAAAAAAAATGTATATATATATTTTTTTTTTAAATATATTTTTTTTATTATGTTCAATGGGGGGAAATTGTGTCATAATTATTGCATTAATACAATTTTTTTTTTTTTTTGAAATGTTCTCAAAACACCAAAAAAAGAAAAGAAAAAAAAAATATTATGAAAAACAACTAAAAAAAAAAAAAAAATCACGATTTTTTTTTTTTTTTTTTTAAATGAATCCTGGCCTTTGGGTCCATTTGGACCCGAACACCCCGAGTGTGACTCTGAAACGAACAACCCCAGAGGGTTAAGTGTCTTCTCATCATGTAATATTTGTGCTTTTGTGAACAGCGGCTATGCTAGTGCGTGCCAGGGCCAGACGCGCGTGCCATGGTCACTTCCAGGGCGGAATTTACCTGAGTCGGGAGACGGTAGCGTTGGATGATTCCATATACCAGCTTACATCAGCATTAAAGAGTTTTCAAATCATACCTCAAAACTCACTTTCATGTTCGAATGCCTTCTGTTTGTGATCCGGAATTCATGATCACCGTATAAGGTAGAAATATATATATATGCAATTTACCTTTTTAAATACCACAAAAAAGTCAGATGCTGCACTGCCATCAATCGACATGGATCAGCAAATTCTTCTGAGTTTTATGTAAATTACACTGATTTTAAGAGAGTTGTCTACACAATAATTAATACCCTTACATAAAAAGAAGCACATTGGGCATGCCTTCTCAGGATTTTGTGTTCCAATGTTTGCACTTGTTTTTTTTTTTTTTTTTTTTTTTTTAATGTTTTTTCCCCTGTCTTCTGGTGTCAGTTTATGTTTCTTCATCCATACAGGTACTGATTGTCCCATTGTCCCAGCTGAACAAACTAATATTTGTACAGTCTTCATGTGAGTGTGCACCATTCAGGAAGCTCCTCACTAAACACTATTTATTTCTCAATGTGTAAAACTTTTTAAACTACTGAATGCACATTTGAGACTTCCAAGCCTCTGACTTATTGAATGAAGATTTGAATCTCCTGTCAGTGTGTGATCTGCATGTGTAGCGCACAGCTGTGGATCAGTCACGGGCAGAAGCAATCAGCTGTTACATATGAAAGCAATTCTAATTTGCGCTCGGAAAAAAGCAAAGCAAAATGAAGCAGGATAACCTCCTTTTCACTTCGCTTTTTTTGCTTGTGGCACCATGCCCGCTTTGCTGGCTAAGGAATGATTTCCTAGCAATCAGTCATGCGCATTAATAACCCAACAGCACAATCCGAAATGTACAATAGCCTCATGCTAACATCTCCCACCATTGTGCTCAGAAATGGGCTGATTAAAATTGATGATTTTAGATTGCAGGTCTTATAAAGCCCATTTCAATCTCTCCTTGCATGGGTTTCAAACCAAAGACACCCGTGTGAAGTCTATTACAGGCATTGTCAGAAAGATCCTACAACTCCATGTGCTCCCTGTTTATCCACATGACATGAAGCACCTGCAATACAGTTTTGTTATCAGCTTGGCAGTTTTTTCTCACAGAGAAGATTACATGGGATGCACAAGATGAACATAAATACTTTTCAAGACACTGTGTGCAGATGTGTCAGTTCTTTAAGCAATTTCATGCTTTAAGAGTATTTTGGCTCTGATGTTGTGTATATCTGGCCTTGTCCTCAGGATTACTCCTTCTTCTTTGTTTTTTCCCTTCACATGAAGAGCCAGAAGCAGTATATAATCGGACATCACAATCATAGGATGTACTATATCTTGTGCCATCATGAACAAAGAATGACTTGAGGAAAGCAATTAATGCAAGTGAAAAGCACAAGCAGCATACCAAATCATGCACCGAAACAAACAAGTTTTATTATTATTATTTTTTTTTAACTAAAACATTAGAGAAAGTGTAACAAGCAAAAAAGCGATAGACAGAAATCGAAAGATTTTTCACAGAAGTATTTTTATTTGTCAAACAAAAGAGCTGTCTATATGTTAGCAATGGCTGTCCTCCTTTGTACACTTTACTTTAAAGGGATACTCCACCTTTTTTGGAAATTGGCTCATTTTACAACTCCCCCAGAGTTAAACTGTTGAGTTTTACCGTTTTTGAATCCATTCAGCCGATCTCCAGTTCTGGCGGTACCACTATTAGCATAGCTTAGCATACATCATTGAAGTGGACAAGACCATTAGCATTTATCAAAAAAAAAATAAGTAAATAAAAAAAATATACATGACCAAAGAGTTTCGATATTTTTCCTACTTAAAACTTGACTCTTCTGTAGTTACATTGTGCACTAAGACCGACGGAAAATGTAAAGTTGCGATTTTCTAGGCTGATATGGCTAGGAACTATACTCTCAGTCCTGCGTAATAATCAAGAAACTTTACTGCCGTACCATGAGTGCCGCAGGCGTAATGATATGACGCAGAGGCTGAAAATAGGCTAATACCACGCTGGGGACTATTTCCAGGCACTGCGTCATATCATTACGCCTGCTGCACTCATGGTACAGCAGTTCCTAGCCATATCAGCCTAGAAAATTGCAACTTTATCAATGGATGGCTGAATGAATTCAAAAATGGCAAAATCAACAGTTTGACTCTAGGGGAGTTGTAAAATGTAAAAAAAAAGTGGAGTATCCCTTTAACTAATAGTGAATAATTGGTATGTTTTAGCATATAGCACTTGCTTGACACGGAATGAACAAAAAAGAAATATGACACTTCATTTTTGGAGCAGCTGACAGCATAAAAGCAAAATCAAAAGGTTATGTGGCCCACTGGGTCTCTCTTAAATTTAACTCTATACATGTTTGCAATCACTATTCACAGCACATGTAAAGGAAATGCTGGACTATCAGACCCTATATATATATATATATATATATATATACATACTGTATGTATGTATATATATATACTGTATGTATGTATATATATATATATATATTAGTTATTCTTTTTAAAAAAAATTGCCTGTGGACCTTATATTTTCTTTTTCTTCTTAATACACAGTCATCCTCAACATTTCTGTACAAAACTGTTAAATGTGCACACAAGTCATTTGAACAGTGTTAGAGAAGAATCTCACAGACACAGGGAAATGTTAGACAATAATTACTGATATTACCTCTGTATACGTCAATAGTCATGATAAACATAGAAACATGATGCCAACATGTATCTGTTAGTTAAAAAATATGGTACTGCACGTGATGTATATGCTGATTCTGGTGTATGATATATTCTGCATTCATGGCATTACATTTCTGACTTTTTTTATTTCACATTCAAGACTGTACAAATAGTGTTACACCCCCCCCCCCACCTATATTATATATAGATATATTACATATGTGTTGTGAGCCCTGAAAATGTCCAAAAAAGTAACAAATTGATGCGTGACTTCACAACCCAATGATGCTCAACTTGAAAATTATACCTATTTTGATGATTATCTAACAGCTGTATAAACATCTGTATCTAATCTTTGCACACATAGAAGCTGTTATTTAATGGTGCCTCTATTATATGCAAAGGAGAGAAAAAAAAAAAGAATTATCCCTAGTCCATACAACACATTTTTGTATGTTTATATTCCTTCACATTTTTAACAAGCACATACAAATGTGGGATATTTCAAAGGGACTTTGCATTCCACAAAAGTTAGATTTACTTGTACGATTGTAAAATTGACATCTATCCTGAGGTTTTTACAATCAAGAAAAACAAAAATACAGTAGTACAGGTAATTAATAGGTAAACAGCCTAAAAAACTGAGACATCTGGAAGTTACACAAAATAATATTGTACACATAATAATAATAATAAAAAACTCTAAACATTTAATTTCACACATTATTTTCTTAACTTCTCCTGTCGTTGTTACAGATTGCCTACGTAATAACGTGTAAACAAATGTACCTTTATCTTCATAACTTTCCACCAGTTGTCTATGTGTGTGACCTTGTTAATCTAAATGTTAAATTGTTAAAGATTCACCTGTTATGGATGCTTCCAGTACTGTAGTGTTGTGATTATTTTTATGGCAAGTTATTACATCATGGGGCATGTAACAGTGTCTTTAGAAAAGTAGAGGAAATCAGATTATAAAATTTTGAAATGATTAAAAAAATGATCTACGAAATGCTTTAATTTGAACTTATACATCTTGTTGTCTTATACTTCTACTCATTTTTGCATCATGCAGTTATTTTGCGTTTTACATATAATACAATACCATCATATTTTTGTCTACACAACAATGTCAGTGTTGGTTGTGATATAACTTCAGTCAGGCCAACTGTTAAAATGAAAGTAGAAACATATTTTACATATTAATGTTAGTCTTTTCTGCTATGTGTTGTGATCTTTTTTTTTTTTTTTTTTTTTATGGCCCAAAAAGCATTGCATGTCATTTTATGTTCCTGTTTAAAGTGACACTGTACAAGTGGCTATTGTTCCACTGCATAAACCACAGTGAAATAATCCCACCCTCCATTTAGCTATTAATAATATATATATATATATATATGTTATTCACTAAATGGCACAGACCACATAAAGGAAAAACAATCAGGGCATGATAGATGACTAAACCTCACCTCTTTAGGAAAGAAAAAAAAATGTAATTTAAAAAGAGAAATCAGAAAATTCGGATGAAACGAATTTTAATTTGACATGTTCAAGCACAGTTTATATTGAAAATGGACCAAAGAGAAATTAAGTAGGGGTCTTCACTCTTCCTCTGTGCATCCCAGTAACTCTGCACGCAAAGTGATTCTTCCGTACCAAGACCATGGAAGAATTCGGATGAATCTGGCATAGATGGGGGGATCTATCACGTTCTTTCTGTGGGTGTCATTATCAAAGTTTCCTTGAAAGACCTGAAAGAAAAAAAATGTTTATTTTACTTTTATATCAAATATAGACACATGTAGTGTGTATAAACACATTCACCATTATTTTGATGACAAAAAGCTACTTTGCAATAAGTTCAGTGTACAATAATATTTGTCAACTAGACAAACAAAACTATTTAAAGAAATTTATAATTTAATACAAATAATTATATCTATCACAGTTTCTTCAAAAACATTAAGCAGCACAACTGTTTTCAACATTGATCATAATAATGAATGTGTCTAGTGAAACAAATCAGCATAATAAAATGCCACTAGACATTTTAAACGGCTCAGTTTTGGTTCAACGGCCGCCAAATAAAACATCAAAATACATAAATATAGGCTAATTCACAGTGAACAGTCAGAATAACTAATGAATGTGCAGCTGAACTGATGCTGAAGGCAAACAGAGCAAAGTACGTTCAGTGTAAAGAGAGATGGGTAAATTTCAGCAAGCATCAAAGTGACTGGCTGTGAACTCTTCTTATACGGAGAGCATATCCAGAGCACTGTGAAGTCTTCATGTGGGCTTCAAAGACTAATTTTACTGAGCTCTCAATGCACTGACAACACATATTCATCAGGAGAGAGTAAACAATCAGAACACAAACAAGCACAGAGCACAGAGATCCTGTGTGTCTAATTGCTGGTGTCATAAGCATTACATAAATGTGTGACATTCCCTCTCTCTCTCTCTTACTTCAACACTAAATCAACATTCCTTTTGCACCATGGAGCCAATCTCGTGTTTTGTAGCTCGACTTTTTTCAAAGCACTCCAAGGTGAAGGGAAATGTCATAAAAAATTGATTAGGTAAAAGGGCAGCTTACAACATGAACTCGTTCACTGGGCTTCTCATCTGATGCCCTGTGTGTTTGCAAAGAATGTGTGCACAGTAAAGTCAATGACAAGCATTTCTCTCCAGGCTTTTATAATGATAAGGTCTGCATACTTTGGCTATGAGTGTAGTTAGATACTGTGGTGGGAAAAACACAAGTGTTACAGCCCATTCTCACCCCCAAGGCGTCACTTAACTGATGCCTTGAAGCATTTGGACATGCTTCAATATCTGACGCTTTAGGCGGCCTTTAGCGTCAGTTAGATGACGCCCTAGGATCGCGTGTACCCTACCCCCACCCCACACCTAAACCTAACCGCGTCCTCTAACTGACGCTTTCCTTTAGCGTCAGTTAGATGACGCCGTAGGATCGCGTCATGTAAGTGACGCTAAAGGGCGCCTAAAACTTCAAATATTGAAGCATGGTCAAAGGTGACGCCTTGGGGTGAGAATGCGTAGAGTGTTAAGTAAGATTTATTAGACTGCAACTCTGACTCTAACTTTGTCTTTCACATTTTAGAACACTATGACACCTGACAATGCCTGTGTGGATGGATGGATTCTATCGGGCAAATACAACAGTATATATACACGAAATCAAGCTTGACCGCATCTGCAGTCAATGTTGGGGAAGAGCGCTAGTAAATATATGATGTTTTTTGTTTTTTTTTTTGTTTGTTTTTTTGGTAGGTTGACAGCAGTATAGCGTAGCTTTTACATTACCAATATGTTTTAATTTCAGGATAATTTAAATGTAAATATTAATCAAATGGTTCACAAAGAGTCCATCTGATTACACTGATGCTATTCACCAATTTATCTTGCACAGAAGTTGCAATTAAGAGTTTTTTGTCTTAAAAGATAAAAAAAAATGTCCGTAACATTGTATTTTTGTTCGTAACATTGTATGTACAATTTTAGATCCTTATTGTTTGCAAAATGGCATCATATGATGCGTAGCTTGACTTTTATTTAAATATGTTATTCAGTCATGAAACTCTAGAGGGTGCAGGCTGATTATGTCCTTTTATTATATGCAATCTGCATTCTCCAACCAATCACACCACATGATACAAGCTGACACATTTAAATATTCTGGTTCATTGTTTGCTCGTTGTTTGCAGCATGTTAACAGAGTTCCTCTGAAACCCTTCACCTCCCCCAGCTCCACCTGTCCAGATCTTCTACCATTTATATATGTAAATGTTGCTCAGCTAAAATAAACTGTAACCACGACACTGTATTGTTGTGTTACCATCTGACATAAATTCCAGATGAAACTGAAGTAGCGGCAGATCTTTTCCTTTGTATTGTGACAGACATCCGAGTGTAATGAATTATCGAATTAACTGAAAAAATAAATAAATAAATAAATAAATAAAATAATAATAAAAAAATAAAAAAATAAAAAATAAGATGTAGCCTTGGTTCTATCCATCAATTGTTGTTTTAAGTTAAAAAAAATTGAGGCTGATGTCCAGAATATCGAATTTTGGAAAAAAAAAGAAAACTGTCACTTTTTCTAACAACTATTCCACCAACTATGTCACTTTTCAACTGCAGGGTAACCTTAAGTCCTTAGTGTTTTAGTAGACTGCTTAATATCTGCCAAAACCTTATTTTGATGGTCCCTCAACAGACAGACTACTGACAATAAGTAACTTTGCAACTGCATGTCAATCTATTATACTAAGCCAAATCCTGACAACTAACCTTAACCCTGTCCTAACAGTCTACTAATAGAATGTCTAAAGTGTAACCCATATTTTTAAATGCACACTCTATCTGGGATAATATCACTGGTTTCAGTTTAATTATGACAGATTGCTGAAGTTCTCTAAAATTAAAACAAACACCACTCACAAGGTAAGGCATTAAGGTTAATTACATAAGGTTAACAAATAGCTATTTGACTGCTAAAATCCGCTAAATAAAAAACAGACGCACAGGGGTGTAATGTAGTGAACATCTCTTTCATAGTACTTATCCATTAGTCTTTCACCCAACAGTAATCACTAAAACTTCAGTGAATGCTTACGCTTTCTGTGACCGTAACCAAATGAGACATCTCACTCTTCTGATGTACCCCTCTGAAGAAATGACGGAAACAAGTCACTCTCAATTACCCTTCTCTCCCAGTGCACCCAAGAACATTTGGAACGATTATGCATAAAAGCTGCAAAGAAAACAAATCCATCTCTAAGACATACCCTAAATCTGTGCCTGGTGTTTACTGCTTAACCTAATCCCTGCACTGCTCCGCTCATGACAGCAAAGCCGTGGAAAGGAAAGTTGTCTTTAGAACAATGAATGAGTGTTTTGGCATGCAGAAACAAATGGAGGATTTTCTAAGTAATTAGATCAGGTAATTCAGGTATTCTATTTGGAGGTGAGGGCTTTTTATCACAAGGGGAGGATACTTTACCACTTCATAGCCTCTTCAAACTGCAAGACTGTTCAATTCATAAACACGTCCTTTGAAGTGGGTTCTTCATATGGAGCTGAATCAGTGTGAAAATCCCTCAAGTGATGCTCAAAGAGGCAAATCAATCTCAAGACTTTTTGGAGCATGGAAAAACAAGGTTGTCTGTGTGGAGATCTGGGTATTACATCTGAGCATGACTTTAGCAACGGATTCCAAATCAGATTTGGATGGATTGACAGACAGAGAGACAAGTAGATTCTTATTGGCACAAATTGATTGTACATTCAAAAAATCAAGTGGCTGATTTGGAAAACTCTGGCACAAAATTCATACTCCACAGGAATACCAATTGAGTATTACAAAAAAAAAAAAAAAAAAGAAAAGAAAAGAAAAAAGATTTCAATAGAACTAGGGGTGTTCGATTGGGTTTTTCAGAGTCGTCTCTGATTCCCAGCTCCCAGCTCCCACCGTAGACTCCCAAAATCGATTCCATTTGCTTTTAGTCAAAACAGGCCAAGAAATAAGAATACTTGATTGCCAAAATTATTAGAAAAAAAAAAAAAAAAGCGATCTCGGGTGCCTGGCAGTGACGCTGAATAACCAAATGAGACATCTCACTTTTCTGATGTCCCTGATGTCCCTCACGAAACTGCTGGCTACTGAAATTAAAAAAATACCTGTCAGCAGCCCCTCACAGACGACTGCTGGCTACCAAAATAAAAATAAAATACAAACAAAAGGCCTGTTCCTCTCTCCATCATCCACGTCGTCACTCTCCATTTATGCTTCTGCTCCTCCGTGAGAGATGCGAGACCGGTGTGCTCACAGGTGCAGGTTCACCACCTGGTCCCGGAAGGGGGCCGGGGTCTCAGGATCACATGAGAGTAGGCCTGAATTCCAGGCACGCTTCGTCAACGGAGAATGCGTGCAGGTCAACTACCCTCTTGATGGAGGCCAATGCAACCAGGAGCGCTGTCTTCATTGACAGGAACTTAAGCTCCACTGATTGGAAAGGCTCAAAGGGAGGTCTCTGCAGGGCAGTTAGAACCACTGAGAGGTCCCAGGAGGGAACGAGAGGAGGGCGGAGGAGGATTCAGTCTCCTCACTCCTCTCAGGAACCTGACGATCAGGTTGTGCTTCCCCACAATCTTACATTCAATTGGGTCATGGTGTGCGGAAATAGTGGCAACATAGACCTTGAGGGTGGAGGGAGACAGCCTTCACTCCAACCCATCTTAAAGGAAGGAAAGCACGACACTGATCAAACATCTCTGGGGGTCTTCTCGGTGGGGTTCTTCTCGTTCCCTTTCAAAAGCTACAATCCATGTTGCGCTGATTAGTGCATTGGGAACAAAAATACCCACGCCGCCATTCTTGCAGGTGTCTGGACTCTTTACAGTTGTGTAGGTGTGCTCACAAGATTGCAAAAAAGCCCTAAACATTAGCTTGTGATGTCGACTCAAGGACGTGAGAGCCCGGAGTGGCATGAACATATAAACTATAAAACCTTATAAATGTGTGCAGAGAGGACCAGCCTGCCGCATCACAAACATGCTGTAAGGGGGCACCCCTTGCCAATGCAGCAAAGGAGGTGATCCCTCTGGTGGAGTGAGCCCTTAGACCCATTGACGAAGCTTGCCTAATAGGTAAGAGCAATAGCATCCCTGACCCAATGTGACATCGTCTGTTTAGTTGCACCAGCACACCTGTTACTGCCCC